GAAAGAAAGAAAGAAAGAAAGAAAGAAAGAAAGAAAGAAAGAAAGAAAGAAAGGAAGGAAAGAAAGAAAGGACACTGAGCTATGTAGTGGAGTTCAATCAGGGGCTAGAAGAAAAAAAAGGAAACAAGAATTATATCGTCAAGTTCTTATATTCTACTTTGCCGTCTGAATCCGGGTGGGGGTGGTTCCCTCCCCCACTTCTTCCCCAAACGGAAAAAATAAACAAGTTAAAATTATTAGGTGATCTGACACAGAAAGACGAGGGCGGTTGGACAAGAGAGAGAAACCGAGACAGGGCCCTGAAAAACGACTGTTCCCCAGCTTAGGCCCGAGGTAAGCCCCGGCCTTGCGTGGCGGGCGTTTCCGGTGGCCTTACCGCTTCCACGGCGTGCTGCAGGATGGAGGTGAACTTGGAGAACATCTTGTCCCTGGACTGGAGCAGCCGCTGCCGGGAGGATCTGGAGAGCTCTTCGATCCGCCGCCTCCGCTCCAGGGTGAGGGCTGCATGCGGCTGACCGGACAGCGGGGATCGGATCGGTTACCGAAGCAAGACGGGGCTGCTTCCAGCTCTGCCTGCCGCAAGGAGACACCGTGGCACTGACGAAGGCGGACACCCACCCGCGCCGAGCTTCGGCGACGGTGTCCGGAAGCCGAGCGCTTTCGCCCGGCGTCGTTGCTTCTGCTCCCTCCCCTCTCAGGGGCCTTCTAAGAGCCGCTACCTCCGCGGACGCCGCTGTTGCAGCGCTTTTAAGCTGTAAGAGAGGAAAACTACGTGGGCTCCGAAAAGGAGAGAGCGCCGCTTCTTTCAGGTCTTCTTGCCGGAGCCAGAAATCAGGAGGCGTCTAGTAGCACCTTCTCAGACTCGCTTTTGTCGAAGTTTTCCCAACAACACCCGCTTTCCTCATTTATAAATAGAAGGGTGGCATTTAGTGTTTCCTCCCACAGGGTCTTCATGTTAGTCCTTATAACTGTGGCTTGATTTCGTATTTCCCTTACTACGTTACAAGCGAAAGTACTGTTACTGATGAAGCAACTTTCTGTCCTTTTTTTTCTTTTGACTTCAAACAGCTGTTGTATGTTTTACCTATATATGAATTGTATCTGTGTATGGCAAGGATCCTTCAACAGAATACAGGTAATCCTTGACATACAACCAAAATTGAGAACCAAATTTTTGTTGCTAAGAGAGTGAATTCTGCAGTTGTTAATAGCAGTTAGACTTATATACCGCTTCATAGGGCTTTCAGCCCTCTCTAAGCGGTTTACAGAGTCAGCCCCAACAACAATCCGGGTCCTCATTTTACCCACCTCGGAAGGATGGAAGGCTGAGTCAACC